TCTTCCCTGCCGCTGAGTTTTCGAAGTGCTCTACACATTTTTCCATTCACACTAACTTCTTGGAGATACGGCTCTAACAACCGCATGTTCTTTTCCAATTCTTAGATTATTGTAAAAGCAAACTTTTGCTTACAGTTTATCGCGATGCGCCCTTCCTTTCTGCAGTTGCAGCTGATTAGGGGCTTCCATAATTCAAACGCCCGTGTGGTATCAGTGCGTTGTTTAGGAACCTCACTCGATTTCCCCGCTTTCGTTTGCCCTTCCCCTACAGTGTCCTTCGTAAGAGACGGGTCCTTCCTGAAATTATGGTGCGGAGCGGGTTTCCGTTGATCAGGTTTCTTTGAAAAGCCCTCTTTCCTTTCATCCTTTTCAATGCGCACTGCCCTGCTATACAACTTTCGGCTAGTATAATACTCCTCAGCTAGCTCTGCCGCCTTGTTTAGCCGTACTTCACCAGTTTGTCATGCAGCCAAAGCTTGACATCATCCTCGATGCAGTGGTAGAATTGCTTCAATGCAGTGCATTCTACCACTTTATCGTGATCGTCATAAACACCTTTGCCGTTGAGCCATTCAATTAAATCGGCTTTAAGATGAAACGCAAAGTCAACGTGTGGCTCATTCCCCTTTTTAGCATACCGGAACCTTTGCCTGAAAGACTCAGGTGACAACTTATAACGTCTCAAGAGCACTTCCTTTATCTCGTCATAGCTCTCAAACGCTTCCCTCGACAAACAGGTTATCGCGCCGGACACTTCGCCGGGAAGAAGAGCTAACAAACGCTGCGTCCAAAGAGAACGCTCCAAAGCATTTCGCTCACAGACGTGTTCAAACTTGATGAGATACTTTGCCATATCCTCGCCTACTACGAACGGTGGCAGTTGGTCGTGAATTCTCTGACCGCTGACCTGAACTGTCACAGAATCTACGCTAGGCGCCTGCGAACACTGTAGGATTGCCAATTCTATTCGTGTCAACTCAAGGCGATCCTGTCTCTCAGCCTCCTCACGCGTTCTCGCTTTTCAGCTTCTTCACGTTCGCGAACTTCTCGCCTTTCGGCTTCTTCGCGTTCGCAAACTTCTCGCCTTTCAGCTTCTTCGTGTTTGCAAACTTCTACTTCTCGCCTTTCAGCCTCCTCGTGGCGTGCTTTGATATTCGCCCAGGCCTCATCGACTTCCTCAGTCGTCACTCCTGCATCCCTCATGATCTGAAGTATCGCTTGCCTTCGTTTCGCACGGCCAAGTTCCTCACAAATTTCGATGAGTTACTTCACTTAAGGTTCTCCATCGTTCACACTAGCCTCTTGCTATTTGCCCCTGTTAAGAATCTACTTGCCGTACCCACTATAAGTCTACTAGCAAGACGCGCAAGCAATTTTTTACACTGCCGTGTTTACACCCTCCGCATTAACATTGGTTTCAAAGCGCTTCGATGTGGCTTGAAACGATCAACGCTCACTGTAATGCTTCAAACGTTCCTTCTTTAAACTTCTATAACCTGTGCTAGAGTAGTCTGGTGAACTGAGGGGAAAACATCAGGCACTTACCGCATCGATGTCGCTGACGCCGGCCGATCCTGCAGCTGCCAACCACTGTTACGAAGGCCGAGACACCAACATGGTCCCGAAGGTGCCACAGCTCCGAACTACGCCAACACGGTCACCAGCCATTTGGTGGCGTGTGTTACTCGGCTCGCGACTGCTTCTGCGCAAAGCTGATAGACGAGCGGACGAGACGACGGTGAGCTAAGGCAAGGTTTATGTGCAGCATAGAAATAGAGGCATTACGAATTCGGCACTGGGGCCGACAGCTTAGGGGCTCGAAGAGCCGTAATGCCTTCTCTCGCACGCATCCGTCGGCTTCTGTCTCTGTTACGAAGCGCACTGCTGACGCGGTTATAATGGGCACCACGAAACTCGCCGCTGCCAAGGACACCGGCCGCGCCGACAGCGAAAGGGCTCGAAGCAACGAGAGGCTTCTCTGACACATAGGTCTACTGCTGGCAACGCGCCGCAGGGCTTTTTTTTATAGGCACCGGGTGGATCCTTTGAGTAACCAAATGTCCAACCAGAAGCGCCACTGGCCGTGATGGCGGAATCCTCCAATGGGGCCCGCCGCTGCACGTGGTTGCACCAAGGATGAGGGATCTTGCCACGCATTGCGTAAGACTTGCCAGACTGGAAGGCGTCGATTACTTCAAGGGGCTTTGTGGGCTAAGGGAGCTCATGGTGTGTTGCGTGAGAGACCGGCGCCGCCGCTTGATGACGTCGAGTTGATCGCGTCAAGCGGGCTCGATTGCTGGCCTTGACCTAGATTGCCTTTTGCAGAGGCATTGACGTTCGGTGTGGACTCGCAGGCGTAACTACGCATTGCGCTTCAGCGGTCGATGGTTCGTCGTTCGTTGGCAGCACCGTTATCATACCCAGCACCTCTCACCAAAAACTGTTATAATGGGGCGTGTTTATTCAAGAACGAATGGCAAAGGGCAGCTACGCCGACACCGAGCTGCTTCCAAAACAGACCACTTCGTTCTCCTCTTCCTTCCTTCACACGTTGCCGCTTCAGCGTAACATTATTATTATTATTATTATTATTATTATTATTATTATTATTAGTAGTAGTAGTAGTAGTATCGGTTTCTTACCCTTCGCAGCAAGTGATTAAAGGGAAAATTGGCGCACGTATTGAAATGTTTTAACCACAGTGGTATCTCGGAGGTTAAGCTGTTGGGCAGCTGGGCTCTAGGATGTGGTTTCATACTCTGGCAGCATTTTGATAGGTACAAAATGGAACAACACCTGTATATTTAGACTTGGGCACAACAATAAACAACTGCACGTGGTCCAAACTAATTCGATCCCCATGATAGCATGCCTAATTTTCATATTGTGGTTTTGGCACATAATATGATAGTGTTAACGAACCATTTATGTGGAACATGAGCAATAAAAGTATACTGACAATAAAGTATGGAAAAATTATGAAACTAATTGTACATGAATATATATTGATGCAAGCTTAATAATGTTTTAAATTGGGTGGGCTGTCGCGAAGATTAGTTGATGTATCTCCACTCAATGGCCATTTATGCTTAGTTATTCTCTGGTTGATGCGTGGACACTGTCTACTACACTGTGCAGAGCTGTCACTGATGAAGGAAGCATTTAAGCTACTCCTACAATATTCTGCCAAATCCATTTAGTATGCTTTATCTGCCATGTTTTCTTCATGTTCAGCTGCTCTCTCTTTTTCTGCACCATGTCATACAGTTGAAACTTGATTTATTAAAGTGATGGCCATGCTTCAAATATTTGGTAATACTGTGAAAGATTTTTCAGTGCTTTTAAATTTAGAATTGTGATGTATCCGCAGTATTGTAAAAGTGTCTGTGGCATTGTATTTACCGGTGACCGACGCCTGCCCCTGATTATTTATGACCAGGTGGTAGACGGTAGGGAGAATGAATGGAGTGATTGTGGGAGCAGGCCAAACAAGGAATTTTTGAGGAGACGGTCAGTGCTGTAAACCATGAAATAATGAAAGCTATCGTGGTAGTGTTCCTGTGAAAGCATTTACGATATTAAAGCACCACCGCTCCTAGTACCACATATTAGGTAACAGCACTGCCGTCTCTTGAATCCATTGTCCATGCCATGCGTGAGTATGACATGCATTCATGGCAAAATTAAACAAAGGTCATCATGATATTAGGGTGGCTAGGACGCCCTGCCGCGGTGGTGTAGTGGCTAAGATAGTCGGCTGCTGACCCTCAGGTCGCGGTATCGAATCCCGGCTGCAGCGGCTGCATTCCCGATGAAGGCGGAAATGTTGTAGGCCCATGTGCTCAGATTTGGGTGCACGGTAAGAACCCCAGGTAGTCAAAATTTCGGAAGCCTTCCACTACGGTGTCTCTCATGATCATATGGTGATTTTGGGACGTTAAACCCCACATACCAATCTGGGTGGCTAGGATGTTTTTACACAACACGTTACAGCACTCGGGGAAGAAAAACTAATCTTAGTCAAAATTAGAAAGTGCTGCTTTGGTTATTGCGAAAAACTTCATTACATCAGGTTTAATGCCAATTTAGTTGTATTGAGTTGAACATCATCATTCTTTTTTAATCCTTGAAGGTCACGGTTGGGGTATTACGGAGGAGCATACGTAAGAGGAAAGGAACATTCAAACATTCATTGAGTAAATATAATAAAAGTAACATTACAAAGAAATAAGGTGAAATTTCAAGACAGTCAAAATACATAGGAAGCATAATGTGCTATAAAAAAGACAAATGAAAAGAAATTTTGGAATACATTACACATCATTACTCAATAAATTTGTTAGTACATTTTGAAATTTGTTGGGGTCATGTTCACTCACAATAACATCAGGTAAACTATTTGTTGCAAGGAGAAGTTGTTGAAAGAATTATACTCGGGGACAACTTTCTGTGGCAATTAAGGAAAGGCTACGGAACCAAATGGGCACTTGCCACCACTGAAAAATATAGTCCCACAAATGCGTCTGTTTTCATCACGAAAATCAATAAACAGTGTAAGCAGACGTTGCAAGTTCTATACGGTGGTATTATTCGAACTCTGCCGTCATTCGAAAAGAAAGTCGATCTGGGCTATTTCGCAGAGGAGTACATGTGTGGTAGCTCCAACCTCATAGCTATCCCTTCATTGCCACGGAAAGTTGTCCCCGAGTTTAGTAGAGCCATGAATTATTTGAAGACTGAAAAAATTTGACAGGCAGCGTGAAGTGCAGTTTGGCTGAAAAAGAAGCTCGATCAAGTTGTAAGTGTGAATCTTTCGTATCACAGTGTGAGCGGTAAGCTTAACAAATACTGATTCTTTAACTACTTTGTTTTGTGTGATGGAGAGAATTTAAGGTGTGCCCGCAGCTTTCTTGCAACTTATGGCAATGTTATTATGAGAAGTAGGACACCATAGCTACCCTTCATAGATAGATCTCAATTTATGTCTGCTATTTTTTCAGCGGATGTATGAAGACCTTGTGGATGAACTGCATAGGCACTTGTACCTGAGGAGAACGACAGAGGCATTGCAAAAGTTTCGGCGCCAGAATTCAGACAGAAAGGTGCAGTTTGGCGCCATTTCTCAGACAAGGTCGGCACTTGTGGAGCCTGCTCATGTAGCAGCAGGGCAGAATATCAGCTCTCAAGAACTGAGGAGTAAGCTTTATTCTTTTCATTGTATGTGGATACATTTAAAAGTTACGATAGCTGTAATTTGCCATGTACAGAAATTTTTTCGTACTATTTTCAGATGTCCTCTGGTAGGGTTAACATATGCCATCTTCACTGATACATTTCTTGTTTTTTATGGGCTGCTTGGATAATAAGTAATGGTTATGCAGTCCAATTTCTCTGTGGTGAAGTTGAAAGTGGCATCATACTTTAATACTTTGTTTCACTATGTGTATAGCATCATAATAATAATAGTCATCCATCCTTTCTAATTATATGGCTGCGAGGAGGTGCTGATATTAAGGTGGCAATTCCACTGTCCCCATATTCCGAGTACTGTTGAAGACACCAAACGATGCAGACAATGTTTTAGAGGAGAAAAGCACAGACTTGTGCCAGCATGCCACACTGGTTGAAGACTGGCTGTGAAGCATCTTGTCGCAATTCAGAGAAAAGAGGCATTGAGCAGAGGCTTTTTTTTTTCTCCCCTTCAACAACACCCCCTTATCTCTTTCTCTCCTTTTCTGGAAATCCTCACTTACTTGTCCCTGTCCCCTTTCCGGAGCCCTCCACTACGGTGTCTCTCATAATCGTATGGTGGTTTTGGGACGTTAAACCTCACAAATCAATTGTCCCTGTCCCCTGCAGTGCAGTGCTTTTCACACTGCAAACCGCTCACGTAGGCTGCCTAGCCTGCTTGGCTAGCTACTCCCCATAAGAAAACAGGGCGGGAATGTGAGGTTGGGTGACAAGCTCTATCGCGGATGTTTCATTGCAAGCTATATCCTGCATGCTACATATGTAAATAGTTCCCTCTGTTGCTGTCGTTTACTCGTACCTTATTTACTGATGACCACTATTCAATCACAATCTACTCGTACCTTATTTACTGATGACCACCATTCAATCACAATCTGCTGCAGTTAGACAGTAATCCTCATACAAACTATCAATTTTCTTTTTTTTTTAAAGGGGCACTAAAGTCAAATAACAATTTATGTCAGAGTGAAAGCTCAATGTATGACGTCTAAAACAACAAGTATAGCAGTGCCATACTTACCGAGAAATCAATGTAGATGCATGAGAACACGTGCGCTACGAGTAGGACATTTGCAAAATGATCCTGTTGACGTCAGAGCTACCACCTACAATTAATCACTACTAATCGAACTAGCTTCACCTAATAAAAAGCCTTCCGTGCATCAAGAGACGTAATAAAATGTTGCTAGTTCGTTTGTTTGATTCATGAAAAAAAGAACCGCTGGACGTTGCAATTGGGCATGCCGCAACCAAGCACGCCTGCCATGTCGCAGGCCATGGCAGGAACTTGTTCAGTGGCTGTTGTTGTTGCTGTGGGTCTCACTTCTTTTGCTCTGCCGCTACTAGTGTCAATGGCCGCGCAGTAAAGCGCGGCAACGTTGTGCGTGGCAACAGTGACGCGAGACAGACGACTCTCAGGTGGGGGATTTAGATTTAGAGTGTGCTAACACAATGCTGACCACTAAAACTGGATTTTATTTCAAAATAAGCGAAGTCCCTCCGTACACTTTATGCGGTGTATATGTTTATTTAAATAGGGGGAGGGCGTCGTTCAGCACTGCGAGTAGCCATTTCGGTGAGTGTGGATCACTCTTTTTTTGCCTGTTGGCATCACAGCACCGGATCTTATTACGGGCTGGCAGTTGACCAATAATCCCGCACATACTACCTTACAGCATCAAGTCTTCTACATCACTATAAATGAAGAAAATAAATAAATTTAGGGGCTTGTTCTTTTTTTTTTGTTACACAATAGCAATGAGAACTAGCAGACAATGATGCCAAGGAAAGTATAGGGTAGGTTATTAAAATGTAAATGGGAAGGAAGAAAAGTGGACGAAAAGATAACTTGCCACCAGTATGAGACCTGTCAGTGCCAAGTTATCTTTTTGTCCATTTTTCTTTCTTTATTATTGTCTCTGTTAGTACTTATTTTAATAGTGTTTGTTCTTCAGGCATTTGTAACACTTATGGGGCAACTCTATTTCGTTCGTAAGTAACATTACAAGTTAAAAAAAAAAACACACCAAGAAACATGTAATAAAGTGCCATGCCACATTGTCACAAGCATGCAGGACATATATAGTCCGGGCTTCATAAAAATGTGAATGAGAAATTATGCCTGATAACTGACTTCCAGTTCATCAATAATTATACCAATGTGGAATTAAACTACAGGGAGGTAGAGCAAGGCTGTTGTCAAATTTTTTCAAGGAGGGGGGAGCAGAGTCTAACCCCCTCAGCCTTCCCCCCTCTATTGGTGACGCAGTAAAGTATAGATACATAATTCAGGAGGACTGTCTCCTATAATTTTTTTCAAGGTTGCTTCCCTGGGAACTGCTCTAATTCTCTCTGGGTTGTGCTAAATAGGCTCGTCTCGTCAAAAATGCATTGCAGAGGTTATGACATGAGTTTTTGTATTCCTGTACTCAGCCCAGCATGGTGTCGTTATTCTCACCTGAGAAAACAGCTGTAGCAGTTCACCGCATAGCAAAAAATATGCCTGCCCTGAAATTCAGTGTTTCTTGCATTCTCTTAGCCCAAAGCTGTAGCGCGAGATGTTGGTTAGCACGTGTGGTGCAGAAGCAATAAAGAGACGAGAAAAAGTAGAAAGAAAAGAAGTGACTGCAAAATTTGTAGTGGCACTTAGCGCCAGATCAGAAAGATTCTGTCTCGTCATTGGTCTGTAGAACAGTGTTCCCAGCAATGTATGTGCCACCAAAGTATCTGCAGCACTTATATGCCATTTGAGCATGTTAACTTAGTGCATTTTCATGATGCTATCATGTATCCCATTTAATTATCAAACTGCCCCACGTATACCAAAAGAAGGAATTCAGGGCGCCACAATCTCGACTAAGGTGCGCACGATGGCGGAAAAGAAGCCACAAAAACTTATTGGCGCATGCCCATGCAATATGCGTACCAACTGTCTCAGCTCTCTGTTATTCTTTGCAAAAATCACTAATTTTAAAGAGCTTGTAAAGATGGTGTCATAAATGCAATTCATAAAGAGAAACTAGTCCACATGACCTTCATTTTTTTTCCTCAAGCTATATACGGCCAATCGTCACTGGCGCTAGGGGGAAGCACCAGTACAAAATCTTCTCGGCCTTGTTCGCCCACATGTGGATACATATATAGAGGGAATGTATTGTAAATTGTTAGCATCGTCATTTCTGTGGCCATGGTTTTCATCCACATGCAAATCTTAGACTCAGCAGCTTTATTTTGTCTCAATACAAAGTGCTTGTCATTTTATCCATAGCTCAAGCATAGTGGAAGCTTTTGAGAATGAAGAGCTTTCAGCCGCGACCCCAGGCTGGTGTAAAATTTACTTTCTACATTGTAATGGACAAACTATCAATCTTCAGTCATTTGACCTGTGTAAAAACTAAAGTCATATGTGTGTGAGGGTGTTAACGGTGATGGGGAGTGATCAAGAGCATGTTTTAGGCTAATTAAACACTGGTGTCTTGTAAACACTTGTAGAACGAAGTTACAGGATGATGAAAATTGGTTTTTACACTGCTCTTATACAAAATAAGTAGAGGATTTACATATTAAGAAAATTAGTGTGTTTGTTGCAACACACATTTTTTTGTTTTCTGGATGCACTTGATAAAATATTTAGTCATTTAAGACACTCTTTTTTTCCCCGTCTCGTGAAATCAATATTATTGAGTGTACTAACCTGATTATTTAAATCTACTGTATTGTACAGTATAGACCGCTTATAATGTGAGTTGCAAAAAACCGCATTATAAGTGTGATACCACACTATAACCAAAACAGCGTTTTTCAAGGGCCGCACTTGCATAAGCGTGTTCGAAAATTGAAACTTGTGATGCGTGCTTGCTAACATTTAAATTTCTGAATGTTAAAAGAATTTAACGTCCAGAGACACGCAATGCCAATGAAATGAACGCAAAAAGGTGGGGGAAGGTCTAACAAATAAAAGCACAATCGCAGAAATTCACCCACTGCTAGACCACCTCGATTACGTGCAATACATAGAAACTATGTCGAATCACGTCCAGAATTTGACGTGTTGAAAGACGCCAACCATTCGATTTCATCGGTGCACGTACACTCGATTTAAGACATCGCAATCAAATCGTGAACCACTGTTTGAGCACTGTAGGTGCTGGCCTCATTTTAATTAACGATATGGATCTCTTCTCGTCAAGTGCGGCCACCGCAAAGAGTTTCGTTGATTCAGTACCAAACCACAACTTATTCATGTGACCGCTATACCGATCGAGGCGCAACCAACGCTGTTTAGGCCTAGGTTGCCGTTTGGAATGTTGTCGCGGTTTGTCCAGAACATGAAGATTTGGCGTCAAAAAGATCGCACTTGCAGTGAACCACGAACAGCTTGCATGATATGAAAGTTCGCGTTCGTGGCTGGCAGATCAGCAGTGACGACAACTCGCCGAGCTTACATATGACAGCGCACTGGCAGCAAAAGTGAAAGCTCGCGTCATAAAAACCGTAATAGGTTTTCAATTTACGGACAAGGAAGCAAACACGTTATTTGTTGCAAGCTCGATAACGAGGGCGTCTTTCGCGGCAGGAAACTTTTTAAGCGCACGTAGTTGATAAGGATGGGATCGCATGTGCCACGTTGAGCGGCGCGCGGCCGAAGCCACGCTAGCGACGTAGTACGCTGTAGCAGCGTCAGCGCCGGTGCAAAGACTTATCGGTCACCAAGGCAACCGCCCTCCTCCTTTACTCGTCGAGTCCGTGCAGTGTTGTGGTCTTTTTTTCATTTTCTTTTTCTTCCCTCTGCTCTTTGTTCGTTCACTCCGTGTCCCCTCCTTCTTTGTAACGACCTCGTCGTTTGCTCCCCAGTGGCGCACCCAGCGCTCCTCCTTTCAGAAGCCCACTCGCTACCGCATTTGTCACAAACAATTTCCGGCAACCGCATTATAACCGCTCTTTCATTTTGGGGGACTGCACAATAAGTGGTATGCGTATACAATGGGTTTTATGGGAGGGTAAACGGGAGTATAACAGCGCGTAACACAGGACACAGGACAGAGAAGAGACGGACGAGGCGCTGACTTACAACCAAAATTTATTTCGTACAGGGGTGTATATATAGCACACGAAACTTGAAAAAGTTTGCTACCCTACAGTTCTGCGCATTCAAAACTTGTAAAGCGAGCGATTGCAAAATCCTGTCTAAAGGCGGCCCTGATGCGGTCTTGCCATCACACATTGTGTACTAGTTTTGAGTCACAGGTGCGCAGATTGCGCAAGGCAGGGTACCCGGATAACATACTGTGTTCCATAGCTGAAAGTATCTTAAAAGACATCAAACAGCTAACCGAACCGACTAGTGGTCAAGAAAAAAGTTCTTTTTCAAGAACAGCAGTCATTCCTTACTTGCATAAGGTGTCACATTGTTTAAAAAAGGTAGCACAAAAAGCTGGAATCAGAGTTGTTTTTTCAGCCAGAAATAAGTTCTCTAGTATGTGCCATCAGGTGAACAGAGAGGACAGAGGGCCTCGCGTGTGTGATAAAAAACACGCAATCAAGTTTGTTGAATGTTGTTTTTGTGCCATTTATGAAATTCCCCTCTCTTGCGGCCGCTGTTACATCGGGCATTCTGGCCGCTGTATAAATGACCGCCTCAGGGAACACCGCAATCTAATGCGGGGTTCTGTTGGCAGCCACTTAGCTGCGCACAGCTCCATTTGTGGATGCCGTGCATTGTTTGACAAATGCAAGATACTTCGACGCTACAGAGATAAAAGGACACGTGAGATTTATGAGGCATTCTGCATAATCAGAAAGGCGATATGTGTGTCAGTGCACCTTCGATAACGCTCCTCACCAGGGAATTGGCGTATTGACAAGCGAATGATTGCGCAATCACAGTTTATTTGTTATACGCATACAATCATAACGAAAATTACTCTTTCATGTCACTCGACTTCTCTCCCTCCTTTTTCAAGTTTCGTGTGCTATATATACACCCCTGTACGAAATAAATTTTGGTTGTAAGTCAGCGCCTCGTCCGTCTCTTCTCTGTCCTGTGTCCTGTGTTACGCGCTGTTTTTTCACTTCGTTGACCATGTACCAACCGGCCCAAATAAGCACTTTAGTACAGTTCATTTCTAATACATCGGGCTCTGTTATATCCTACCCCTTTCTCCGCTCTTCCGTTGTGTGTATAAACCTGCTGGCTACTGCGATCTGCAGGACTCGTCTTTATACGTTCGCCTTGAAGAATTCGTCTCTGCCTCCAGATGTTCTTCAACTTTTTGGTGGTTTAGCGCCATCAAAGGGTCATGCTGACAGAATATGCCGAATCTTCCGGTCGGAGGCCTGGCGACAAGTGCGGTTCTACTCGGACTGCCTATATGCTGCAAGCATGGGAAATGCATCGCAAAACAGTGCTCTGAGGGCCTACCGCAGAGACCTGGGTATTGCATCCCGGACAGCGGATTTTCTTTGGAAGATGATATTTGCCAGCCTGCCAAGAAGAAAGAAGCAAACATGCCAATCTGGACAAGAAGTTGTGACTCTAGGGAACGCAAGCATCCCTCCTGGAGTAAAAAGCGCATTGGAAAAGGGCCCAAAATTTTGCGAGCCACCAAAATTGGACCAAGTAGAGCTTTTGAGCTTAGTAAGGAGCACGGCGGCACGAGCCTCTGTTGATAATAGAGACAGGTGCATTCAAGAAGGCGTGGATTGTTTGTTGCCAACAAAGCAAACCGGAACATCACGTCAGCCTTCCGTGATTAAGTCGCTACGCGCTGCAGATCTCAAGCTCCTTCAGGCGGACAAAGAAGGCGGTTTTGTCCTTGCCCCGACAACCGTCTACAAAGAAAAGGCGGACGCTGCTGTCACCGAAAACTTCCAAGTCGCGAATGTAAAACCTTCCAAGGTCAAGGCAACAGCTAGCAAACTTTGTGAAGAGGCTGGCCTTCAAAAACTGGCGTCATCAGTGAGAGCAGCGAGGGGTGTGAACCTTTCAGTGTTCTTTTCAGCAAAGACGCACAAGCCGGAAGTTCCCTTCCGCGTCATTGTCTCGGAACAGGGCACATGGCAGCGCCTGGTGGGAAGGTACCTGCAGCGTTCCCTATCTGTCCTTCCTGTGGAAGACCCTTGCCTCATCAGAAAGCCTCAAATAGTATCCGAATTTCTTCAACAAGAGTGCCCTTCAGAAGTGAGCTTCTTTTCTGTGGACGTAAAAGACTTATACTATTCCCTGCCGTTGGACCAGGTGTGCGCAGAGGTGAGCGACTGCATAGACCGCTATGGGAACGTCAAATTTCAGGACTCGTGCGGAATTAGCGTCAGAAACTTTTTAGAAATGTTGACCTTTTATTTACGTTCTACATTTATAAAGCATGATGACAAACTTTATATTCAAAAAGAAGGTGTTTGCATAGGTTCCTGTCTCGCCCCGATCCTAAGTGACATTCCTTTAGCCAAATATGACAGATCTCTCATTAATTGCCTACAACTGACGAGCGCCGTGAAAGTGTTTAGATTTGTTGATGACTTCTTGATTTTGTACCGGTCCAACCACTCTGAAGCTCAGCAACGTGCTGATCAAATTGTTGATGTGTTTCGCACTTGCTTGGGCTCACTGCAACTAACCACTGAATTCCCCATTGCTAACAAACTCCGGTTCCTTGACATTGAAGTTTTTTTGTCCGACCACGTGTGCTGGCAGTATGCCCCCCGCTCCAAAAAAAGTTTGCTACCCTACAGTTCTGCGCATTCAAAACTTGTAAAGCGAGCGATTGCAAAATCCTGTCTAAAGGCGGCCCTGATGCGGTCTTGCCATCACACATTGTGTACTAGTTTTGAGTCACAGGTGCGCAGATTGCGCAAGGCAGGGTACCCGGATAACATACTGTGTTCCATAGCTGAAAGTATCTTAAAAGACATCAAACAGCTAACCGAACCGACTAGTGGTCAAGAAAAAAGTTCTTTTTCAAGAACAGCAGTCATTCCTTACTTGCATAAGGTGTCACATTGTTTAAAAAGGTAGCACAAAAAGCTGGAATCAGAGTTGTTTTTTCAGCCAGAAATAAGTTCTCTAGTATGTGCCATCAGGTGAACAGAGAGGACAGAGGGCCTCGCGTGTGTGATAAAAAACACGCAATCAAGTTTGTTGAATGTTGTTTTTGTGCCATTTATGAAATTCCCCTCTCTTGCGGCCGCTGTTACATCGGGCATTCTGGCCGCTGTATAAATGACCGCCTCAGGGAACACCGCAATCTAATGCGGGGTTCTGTTGGCAGCCACTTAGCTGCGCACAGCTCCATTTGTGGATGCCGTGCATTGTTTGACAAATGCAAGATACTTCGACGCTACAGAGATAAAAGGACACGTGAGATTTATGAGGCATTCTGCATAATCAAGAAAGGCGATATGTGTGTCAGTGCACCTTCGATAACGCTCCTCACCAGGGAATTGGCGTATTTGACAAGCGAATGATTGCGCAATCACAGTTTATTTGTTATACACATACAATCATAACGAAAATTACTCTTTCATGTCACTCGACTTCTCTCCCTCCTTTTTCAAGTTTCGTGTGCTATATATACACCCCTGTACGAAATAAATTTTGGTTGTAAGTCAGCGCCTCGTCCGTCTCTTCTCTGTCCTGTGTCCTGTGTTACGCGCTGTTTTTTTCACTTCGTTGACCATGTACCAACCGGCCCAAATAAGCACTTTAGGGAGTATAAAAAGACCGCATTGTAAGTAGTGCTTCACTAGAAGCGATTACATTATAAGTGGTCTACACTGTAATTACGTCACATGTACTCTACTGTTGCAAATTAAAAAAAAAAATCATTAAACTGAATTTTATGTGAATCAATACACTACTTGTCTACCTCTGTTCATATCTCGGAAATCTTTAAATTTTGAAGATTAGGATTAATGAATTTTGTGGAAAGATTTGAACTTTGGTAGCATCTTTGTTAAGAAGGTGTATTAATTCGTTCTTGTAGTAATAGTATGGCGTCGTCATCCTCTTAAAATGTTTTTCTTATGAAGTGCTACATGCGTTCTGCAGGTTCCAGCGCTGCAACACTGAGCTCTTCAGCTTCCAGCTTTTTAGCTGGTGAACCTGAAATGAATAGTTTGCTAAGACTGGAAGAATCTGGCCAGTTTGGCGAAGCACCACATCTGGCACCAAAATATACGGCCATCTTGGTCAAGTGCTTGGCTTTGCTCAACCGCATTCCTGATACTGTTGAGGTAGGTGTAGTGATGCTCATTTGATATTTTCAACCTTTGTGGTGTTGTACATTGTGTGTACTACATTTTCCCAACTTGATTTTCTTCCTGCCTGTGCTTCTACTTTGCCAATGTTCTGAGCCATAGGAGTTTACAGAATGTTCCAATACTAGCATTTTGTCAACAGGGCTTTCTGCTGATCTAGCTGGCTCATACTCAAGGAAAGAACATATAATGCACAATGATGACGGGGATGAAGCAAAGAAACAATCTGACAGACACAAGTGTTGGAGACTACGTGCACTCTTCTTTATGCGTTAAATGTCAGTTTTGCTTCCCTGAATAACTGTTTGCATGGGCTGATCGTTAAGACAGTGTCATCTGATATGCCAGTAGAAACCTAATGGAGGAACGGTGCTGCCATGTGAAGGTGCTGGTGGCTTTATGTGCTGCTGATGGTACTGCTCGTATCTGTATTTTAGGCATTGGTACTGGTAGCACCATCCACTGTGCAGTAACAGTGGAACAAATAAGTGATGGTACCACGCCCTGATGGTACTTCCTTGTAGTACTGTGCAGTGGAAAAGAAAGCACTGCTGAATTCTTTCCATCGGAGCAGCTACGTATCGTTGAGAGATGGGGTGGCGTAGATGCTACATGCCTCTGGTTGAAGATGCAGATGCTGTTGATCCAGGCGCAGCATCTCTTGTCGCATACACTACACGGTGTTCTATACTAGACCCTGGGAAGTAGTGCTTAACAGTTGACTTTTACCTTTGGTTAAGGCAAGGCACCTCCTACATGCAAAGTGCCTAGCTTGCATTTGCTCCTTGGCATTTGCTCCTTGACATAGTGCAACATAGTGCCATGAATATTGACATATCTAAGTGTTTTGAATGCATTCTGTAATGGTAACCAAGTTTGGTTTCTCATTGTTTTTCTGCTTTGTGCAAGTTCAATTGCTACTATATTATTATTTTAATTGTGAATAACCTTGATCTATCATATTTATAAACAAATATTCCAGTCACATGCTTGCAGACTTGTATTATGCTTGCATTGATTTCCCCACATCAGGTATGTTTCATTGTGTAATTAGCAAAATAAAATGCTTAGTGCTATGTACTTGGATTGATGTCCCAAATGCTATAATGCATTTTGGGCATTGTTCCAATTGCATTCTTTTTTCTTGCAATCACCCATGTACTACTTTAGTGATGAGGAAGATGTGCATCAATAATAGGCATGCGATTCTCGTCTGCTTTTACTTGTAGCATTTAAATGCTCAGAATACTGGAAGCACAGAACATCCCACATCGGAACTTTAAATAGTAAAAACGTACAGCACTAACAAGGAAATATAGCATTTGGTTACTTAAGATTAATCTATAACACAGAACTTGATTCAAGCTCTTGTTCTTCTTTTGGTTCTATGGATATCTAATCGAAACCTTTGCACTTGCGAACTGAATTAACCATCCATTGCAAAGACTGCTACATTTTATCAAGTTTGATTTCTAATCAAAAGAATGTCTCACATTACACATCAAAAATAAAACAATGTCTAATGTCTAAGGAGAATTGGTTTACATTGTTATGTTTATTGTAAATGCAGATTGTAAGATTTCGCACTGGCATAAGGGATAACACGCCATGCTTTTCAATTAGGCTTGTAGCTGAGAAACAGAGTGGGCTTATGTTGTAATGCCTTATGTCTGATGTAAATCTCATATGATGATGTGGCATCAAATGTCATGTAATTATGGCATTGTAGTCATGTAATTATGGTGTTGTAGTATTATCTGGTGGCATGGTGGCACGTATTTTAAGGCATGCAGCCACTTTGTCACAGCCTTTTATTTCCTCCTCCTTAAGAAATTTCAAAAGTAAATTAAGAGTGCAATTTGCACCCTCAACTTTATTTTTCTTGTAGTTATACCCTTTTGTAAGGGTTAAAAGAAATTATTTGTTCAAAAGCCATTTTTCTTGTATAAGTGCTACCACTCTGCGTTGGGAACGAGGGAGGCTCAACCAAGTGCTGAGCTCATAGTGTGTCTGCATCAACGAAATGGGGAGCATGGTATTAGGCAACCAACCTTTAGAAGGTTACCTTCTTTGACTCCATTCTTCTCCTGGTTTTACTTGTACAATACACCCTCATAATGCTGTATCCTGATAGTGATGCTTTGCACATTGCTTCCAGACAAACCGCAATGTTGTTTGGGTCTTAGTCAATCTTTGAAACATCAGGAGCAACCTCCATCATGCTATTGGTTGCAGACCATCTATTTCGGCTCTCTTTTTGAAGAGGACCTGCTGGAGATCATTTTAGTGCACCTAGATATTGTAGCTAAATATAAATATTATGGACAACAAACGGCTTAGTGTAGGTTTAGACGGGGTGGTAACACCTCCTTGTTGCTAAAGCCAGCTCCGTCAACAATTTGTTGCTTCTGTCCCTCTGCTTACCTGCACATGTCAATTCTGGTGTACAATCTGCAGAGGGAAGCCCCGAGCATTCACATTCTGCTGGCAGGATGCCATCGTCTACTACCCAACCATAGCAAGCTCATTGCTAACATTTTGGCAGTTGTGAACTGTACCCGTGAGGGAACGTTTTCTCAACTAATTTGCATTCAAAGGCCTGACTTACCTAGAATGGACACAGAAAGGCACGACATAAATGGTTGACCTACAACCAGCAAGATGTGAAAGAAGATACAAGCTACCACGTTGTGCTATGCTTTGCCATGTGCTCTAATCTACTGTGCTCTTTTTTGCTTGTTTAAAGAAAAAATGTTCCTAGAGACAAATGAAAACAGATTGCCTAGTTTTTTAGCTTTCGTTTTTGTAGCTTTATTAGAGAGGGCAACATTGATTTCAACTCATATGTTCGTATCACAACTTGCGAGAACTTCTTGTTCATGTTTCTTAGGGAGGTTTCGCATGTATAAAGCAGCCCTGCAACATTTTTCTGAGTTATAATGGAATACAGTAGACTCTTAGGGAACAGTCGTCTCTGATATCATTGGTTTTGTACTTGAATTCTGCATCACAGCTCCTCTCTCAGAAATCAGAACTCCTGTTAAATGCAACATTTAACCTCACCCTTAGTGTATGCTGCTTCATGAATCACACGACACAAAAGTTTTTAGAATCCATCAAGTATGAGGGGAGTTAGATATTTATTGCACACTTAAAGCACTTTCGCTTGCCTTTCGTGCCAGCAAATAGCTCTGAAAGCTGTGCAGGGTGGTGGATCACAAGTGGGGCAAGAAGATGAGTCTTTTCGTCAGCGCGCATCATGACTGAGCACTTTCTTTTCTTTTTTGAATGTACGGCTTACTTTGTGTAATTGCGAGTGCGTGCGGGCACGGGGCGGCATACTGTGGCAGCCACGGTCGCTATGCAGTTCACGATGCTCAGATCAGCCAACCACTGTGGACGTGGGTATGTGGCGCAGAAATTTAGTGATATGGCATCATTTATAAGAAGAAGAGGGGGATATAGGAAGTCTAGCTAACTTCGAGGACTATTTGTAAATTCTAGGCCACACGCCGCACTATAATGACTGGCTCACATGTTCTCGGAACGTTCAACTACCTATCAGCAGTGCTTCCTGATCATGCTAAAAAAGTGCTGCAGGGCCCCTTTTATATCCTAGTGGGAGAGCACAGCCTGTGTTAACGGGACCCTTGAGCTGCTTCCACAGTTGTATGCAAACCCATTGAGCCAGTTGTGTAACTTTTTTAGATCTTCAATAGACAGATTTAGACACTTTGCATATTGCCTGTAATTGATTAGTAAAGTTCTGCGTGCGTACTGCCAAAAGATTGCAGTGGGCCACTACAGTAAGATTGAGCAGTAACTTCAACTGGTGACTGATCTGATTGGTTGCACCATGACATCACGGGTAAATTTTCCAAATTTATTGCTAATAAATTTTATTCTTAATTTTATAAGCACTTTGCAATCTATTGTTATTAGAAAACACTGGGAGAAAAATGATGCATAGTCACTGTTTACCAGTAGGCTCTGGAAGTGCCAGTAGACAGCGAGTGTTGTCTGCTTGTATTATATGCTCCATGTTTAGATAAGCTGCACGACTGTTTTGATTTTTAATTTCAAGGTTTTTTTTTCTTCTAACATCTTATAAGAAGCGTGCTGCATTGTGGACTGTAATCCTAGTGTTTGGCTACGTGTCAAGCTATGATGTCATATGTCTGTGCTGGTGAGCGAAGTGCCTGCAGTGCACCGGCACTGTGAGCATTGGGTTCTTGGCATGCACTTCACGGCAGGGTCTTTCTGTATGTGTCTGCCACTTCTTGTCAGTGGACTGCAACCACAGTTCAGATGTTTTTGCTGAGCGGTAATTGTTGCCAAAAAGTTTTAGTTACTCCGCAAAGTTCCTAGTGTTTACTGATTATCAGATTTCCAAATGGCAAAAACGTGGACAAGAAGTTGGAGGAGAAGCACTGCTGGTGAGAAAGGTAGCACTTCACCAGTCATAGTTCCCTAGGTACAAGATGCTTTGCTTCAGTTAAGGTACACATGATTTGATAAATTTCCAGCCTAAGTACTTACATAATTTCAAAAAATTGTTTCAGGGGTCTTTCAGTTTATGAGTTATGAGGTCCTTAACTTTCGTGGCAAACATGAGTGTACATGATTTGGTGTTTTCTTTTGACAGCTCATCAAGGAACGCTGCGAGACTGAACTATTGGCAATGGTGCGCCGGACAAGCCAGGTGCTTCTTGACACGAACAATGGTTCTGCACAGACAGCTTTAGCTTTGCAACCACGTGTACTCCTAGACTTGTTGGATCTGCTCTTTGAGCAATTTCGAAGTGTGGCCTCTGGACATGAGTGTGTTCTGGAGAACATGCATGCTGTGGTGGTAAGTTCCCTTTCCACTTAAGCTGTGATGCTGCCATGTATTGTTTGTGCTGTGTTGTTCAATTGATGGATCAATCAGTCAGTCAGTTTACTTGGAATTCATTACAGCATCAGTAATATAAAAAATAAAAGGACAAGAACAATGGGCTAATTCTTGTCCCTATTGTACTTGTAATATAAAACATCGTATACTGCATAAGAACTCGCATTTTAACGTGATAGCATAAAAGAGCACGTGTCGCAGAAAACCCACCGCCGGCATTGGCCCCGTTGATTGTGAGCGAAAAATCGTCTGTGCGTCTGTGACCAAAAAATCAAGTTAACGAGATAGCCGCTGGAGGCCGCTACTTGTCCACGCTTGCGCGCACGATCACACTGAAAAAGCCGCGCATTCGAAGAAAAAAAGTGCTCAAGTTCACGAGGCGCGGTAGTTTCTTTGCCCTGCCACCCCTCTCTGCTTAGCTTCAAGCGCTTTTGAAGGGATGAGAGAAGAGATAATGCAATCGTAGCATGTGACAAACCTTTGTAACTCCACTCGCACTGGACGGATACTTAAAATTTTTGCGGCGTTGAATTCGTGAGCCAATAAGCTCTAGTAAATTCATTTCATGGTTACTTGAAAAAGTGTTTCAGGGCCCCTTTAACGCATTTTTGTTTGACAGGTGTCACGACAAAAACGAGCCTATTTGGCGATAATAGTGTGCGCTGGTCCAATCTACTGTGCACGTGTTTGTGTGCGTGCATGTGTATGTAACAAAACATGAATAAGTATGCACTTAGCGGTTGAAGGGTGCTCTAGGGGCCGGGTTTTGCTATCGCGCTCAACTCTTATCCCCGAATGCAGAGATGTTACTTGGCTCGCGCCTTCGACTTGACTTTAGTAGGTCGGCGTGAAGCAAGGAGAGGACTTCAATACGGCCAAGTCAGCCTTCGCGTTTCATAGATGCTCAAGCTGTCCTGCTTGGTCAAGTCTAGAACGAGCTTCAAAGCAGAAACATGCTGCTCGCCTGTTAAAGAGCTTAATAATGAAGTTGTTCATGTAAGGCACGTGTTACAGAAAAAAAAAAGACTGCGTTTTAAAATAACTGTAAAAACAAAGTGGCCATAAGCATATCTTTGCCATTTTACGGCTAAAGAACAGCATGTGGTGCCTGCCGCCCCAGCGATGCGCGGTGTTTCTTCTGTAAAGCCTTCGTTGCCCGCTGGTTTTAGCGACCACCCAAATGCGGCAGGTTTTCCACGCTTACTTGTTTGGAGGTGAAACAAGCATCGTGTTAGGTTCTTTCGTCTTTTTTTTTTTTTTTTTGATCGAACGCCACGGTGTGTATTTGTGCTGACCTGGCTCACGAGGTAACGCGATTTTCACGGTATTCGCCTTTATGTTCGCCTGTGGACATGCTTGTAGCGGGATAAATCGCAGTTATATATGAAAAAATAAAAAAAAACAAGTTCGGGGAACAAAAGTGATTCGTATCCTTTTGTTGAGCTTGGTAAACAAGAGAAAAAGCGGGGGTCAGGACATTGCCCTCAGCAGAATTTTGTCTCGCGGGGTGCGGTAATGTCTCGCTGCATGATGGTGAAGGGTGAGGCACATGATCAGGAAACTTGTGATAGGGGCACCTCTTTTTTTGTGTGTGAAATTTTTTGTAGCGTTGTGCTGGAAGCGATGCCTTTCTGAGTGAGAAACAGCGCCCTAGACGGCACGAAAGGATAGACGAGGCCCACAGATACAGCACTGGGTCAATTTTGTACCAAAAGAGACAAAAAAATGCCGTGTTTTAAAAAAACAAAAATAGCCTTTGGGGTTACTGAACACTTCGGCGGCGCCACCACCAGGGCAATTAATACGCACATGTGTGCAGTCGACACATCGTGTAACGCCAGGGAACTCAGCCACTTCAAAAAAGTCCCGAATAACTTAAGTCCACATAAGTCCCGCCATTTCATAAAAGTCCCGCATAAAAGTCTGGCTGCGCAAAGCGCACCAACATCGCGTACAGGTGCTTTGCGAAGAGTAGTGTAACGTTTCCTACTGCATGGCACACTGTCGACTACAAAATGCGCATGAGATTCCCGGTGACTATGTGGAAAGTGCCGGCACCGTAAAACCTGAGAACCATCAGTAGCTGTACACTATCTGTTACAGGCTGTCACAAGCACAGGCTGTCTTCGGTTGTCCCCACTTTCACGAAGCGGCAACATAGCCAGCAGCTGCCGCATGATATTCTTCGTGAATCTGTACCGAGCGGGGAATTGCTGCTCGTCGCACAACTCCATCGTATTTTCTCGGTCAGGTAAAGCGGGTCGAGGAATTTTCGGCAGGCAGTGCGCCTCAGAAAATGCTACGCTTATGGTGAGGCAAGCAAACTCAAAAGCGGCCACCCTCGGTGCGACGTTCGTTCCAGAGGTGGCCATGTTGAAATAACGCATGAAGTCGCTTTCAAGCTAGCCCCGCAGCTGACTTGAAACTTGTCCTGACTTCGACCGAGGCAAGTCGCCTTCAAGTCGTTCGCAAGTTCGAGAACGATTTATGGGGAACGGCAAGACTGTTTGGAGTCAAGAACGAGTCAAGTAACACCTCTGCATTCGGGGGTTAAAGGCAATGATTAAGGGTCCCCCAATTTTCATTAGTATATGTGCCATTCAAACATCACTAAAGAAGAGAAAAAACATATTCTACAAAGGTAAACAAAAACATAGAAAATATTTTATATGTCAATTATGCAATTTTCTTTGTGTTAACAAATGCCTTTACCTTGGCTAAAGATGTGAGACAATGTACAAATTTAGCAATAAAACAGACATAATATACAATTACCTATAATGGAAATGCATAAAGTATTTTATATAACTGAAAAGTACTGATTTTACATACACTGAAACTTCGATTATACGTCCCCCGGTTTCGAAACGACCCGCATTTTAACGAATCAATTTGGTCCCGGCAAAAACCCCATAGAAACAATATATTAAAACCCTTGGTTATACAACACAATTTTACGCGGACTCCGCGCATCTTACAATGACTTTTATTCTGTCAGAAAGAAAAAACAACCTTTACTCAAATCGAACATCAACCAAATATTCACGAGGGCGTAACATAAACTTGCTTACCCCTGTATTGACGACTGGAAAAGTAGATAGTGAGACGGACGTCTTCCAAGAATGGAAAATTTATTCACCTGGAAGTTCATGTGCTGCTACATATGCCTTGATCGCGTGTGTACGTGTCCGGGGTCATTAGCTAGTCAAGCTCTATCCACATAGAGTAGCTTCAGCCAGCCGAGAAGCTGATATTTACACATTTTCGATCCGTGGAACCTATCCTGGTCTACGTACAGCTGGTCTCCTGCCTTTGTCACACTTGCAGTCACTGGCTTGTGTACACATAAGGGTGTGACGTAGCTGTTTTCACTGTACATAATTGCTTTCACTTGAGGGCAATGTTCCTAAAAGCAGCTGGAAAACCACTACTAGTTACACTTCACAAGGTAACAAATTACAATGCGCATAGCTCAGTTGCAAACGAACGCATTCTATGCAAACTTGTGGTCCGTCGCCATTATGTTATACTAGTGACGACGCTGTGCCTAACTCTTCTGACAGGAGGCTGGTGGCAATGTGGTTTCGGTTTAGTTTTCACAGGCAGGCAATTTTGGACTTTATTTATTGGTAGAAAGATGTGCGTTGGATTCACTTGTTTTTAAGGTTGAGAATAAAGATTCGCTCGCACCTCCCTCAACTAAGTAACGCAGCCGTTAACTGGCACTGGCAAGAATTAATATACCTTCCTTGCAAAGGCTCAAGGTCGTGCCGTGGGCTTATTCAGACACTCTGTACCCGTTTTTCTAGCCAGGCTGAGTATCGCTATCTTTATTTTTTGATTATACGGTGTCTGAATTATACGACAATTTTGCATGGTCCCCTGAAAGTCGTGTAATCGGTGTTGCACTGTACATTATTCAATCAATTAATCAATTAGTCAATCAATCTATTTTTTTGATTAGGAGGAGTACGGTACTAAAAGCTCAGGCACATTATTCAGACATTATAAGCCCTTATAGGTGAAATGAAATTAGTTGTTATTAAAATACAATACAAGCGATACTATGCATATGATAAAAACAGATGCAGAAGAAGGTTTCGAAGTCGCGAGGCTGTGAGTGAGACATATAAAATCATACATTAAGGATATAGTGTTATAGTAGACAGTGGTAAAAATAGAGAATGTAACTATACAGTGAAATCTCGTTAATTCTAAGTCACTGGGGCCGCGAGAAATTTTTGAATTAAGTGGGTTTTCGAATTAACAGAACGTACAAAGAAAAAATGGAGTGCAAGAAACTTGCAATTATTCGAAATAATAAGGGCTGATAATTTGCTATGCCCGCTAGTTTGCGGCTCCTAGGGTCATGTTTTCTCGCAATACCTAAGTTTAGTTTTTGCCAAAATACAGAGGAACGGTGGGCCTCACTGCTGCCACCGCGAGAAAAAAAAAAAGATAACACAGTCCTCATCAACTAAAATGTGCGCCTGAAGAAAACAGGAGGTGCTTCACTGCAACACAGTGGTGACACGCGGGCAGCATGTCGCCTGCTCCTCTCTGCGTCGGCACGTCATCATGTGACCATTCACGCATTATTTCTGGTAAAGTAAGGAATTTAATAATGGCCAGTGTGATGAAATTTGCGATATGATTTGGCTGGAAATATGATCATTGAAGTTTTCTAACGTAGTTTTCGAAGTAGGCGTTGCAGGCTGAAGCTCCGCCAGCGGTGCAAGTGTGCAAGTTGCTGAAGCCACCGGCAATCGGAGGTTGGATACATCGCGAATTCCACTTAATGTCCTTTATTAATTTCTTTAGAATCCCAGAAAGTATGGTTGAATCGCGATGCGCTGACATAGCAAGAAACATGTAATATGCTGCCCGCACGTCACTACTGTATTGCAGTGAAGCTCATTTTGTTTTCCGCAGGCGCACGTATTAGTTGATCACAAGAA